CCCCCCCCCCCCATTTACAAAAGTGTTGTTTCCATTTTTTTTCCCTTCCATTTTTTTTTGGTACCGGGGATAGAACTCGGGTTCTTGCTCTTGCTAGGCAGGCGACAGAACCACTGAGCTAAATCCCCGGCCCTTTCTATCCTCTTTTTAAAATCATTTTCCCCTTCCTTCCCTATCCCCTCCCCTCTCCCTTGTTTCCCCTTCTTATTTGAAAATATTCTTCCTACTTCCCAATATCTATCCTCTGTTTTGCTCCTTATTTTCCCATTGGGTTTATTACACAAGTTATTTGTGATATTTAAACTTCTCAAATGTTTATTTCACTCAAAGCTATGGTCTCAAGGTGCATCCATTTACCTAAAAATGATTCAAGTTTATCCTTCTTTATGACAAAGTAGTATTCCATTACATATAAATACCACATTTTTTATCCATTTATCTTTTGATAGGCATATAGGGTGTTTCCAAGATTTAGCTATTCCTTGTACTGCTATAAACATGGGTATGTGTATATCACTGTGGTATAATGCTTTTAGCTTTTTGGGGGAAGATACTTAGAAGGGGATGCAGCTGGATCAAATGGAACCTCTAGTTTTGGTTTTTAAGGAATCTCCATACTGATTTCCATAGTTGTTGTACCAGTTTACAATGGAGAAGAGTTCCTTTTTCCCCACAGCCTCACCAGCATTTGTTATTTTTCTTTCTTTCTTTCTTTCTTTCTTTCTTTATTTCCTCCTCCTCCTCCTCCTTTTTGGTTGAATTCTTAGCTACTGTAGACATTCTTTCTCAAGTAAAATGGAAACTCAACGTTGTTTTACTTTGCATTTATTCAATGACCACTGATACTGAACATTGTTTCATGTATTTATTTGCTGTTTATTTGCTTTTTTCATTTGAGAAGTTTCTATTCATTTCAGATGCCCATTTTTGGACTGGGTCTTTAAATTTTGGGGGGATATTTTTTAAAGTTCTTTATGTATTCTGGATGTTAATCCTTTGTCTGAGGAGTAGCTGGTATAAAATTTTCCCACTCTGTGGCTTGTCTTTTCATTATGTTGGTAGTTTCTTTTACTGTGCATCCTTGGGATTTTCTAGTACACCATCATATCATCTATGAATAGGAACAGTTGTATTTCTTCTTTTATAGGTTTGTGTGTCTTTGTGTTTTTATTCTTTTCTTGCCTTATTGCACTGGCTAGATCTTCCAGTACTTTGTTTAATAGAGCAGTGAGAATTACCTTGCTTTGTTTCTGAATTTTAGGAGGAAGCTGTCATCAATTTCTTTTTGGCTCAAATATTTTTCAAAATAAAAATCAAATTGAGCCCTTTTACACCTCATTTCTCATCATTTACTGTAAATATTTTTTCTACTTTTAATGACTTATTTATTTTAAATTTTGTATTAGTACTGTGCATATTTGCAGTATGTAATGATTATGTTCATCTAGAGAATTGATACATGTGCATAACACATTATAATTATTTTTGCGTCTTCCCCCCACCCTCCTTCTTAAGTGAAGAATCATAAAAGGATCTTTTCCTGACACTAATTTCCCTTGGAAAATAACGGACCCACCACCCTTCCTGTCCACTTCCTTTTTCCTCGCTCATTTTTAAGGGTGTGGAATCTGATGCCCCCTAGTGGCGTCATGAAACCACACTCTTTCCCAGTTCCTCCCGGTAACATAGTGGGAGGTAGGGTTGAGCCTGGGGTCTGCACCTTTCTCCTTTGCCCATCTCTACCCTTACCCCCGGCCCCTGCCTCATGGCTCCTGGTGCCTGCAGACGGCGGTCTCTGGTTCCTGGCCTGGCCAGCTGGTGGCACCAGTGTCCGGGAACAACCTGGGCGTGCAGCGTGCGGAGATCAAGCCTGGAGTGCGGGAGATCCACCTGTGCAAAGACGAGCGTGGCAAGACAGGGCTGCGGCTGCAGGCCATAGACAAGGTAGACAGCGCGGGAGCAGCAGAGTCGGGAGGGTGGCGCAGATGCCCAGCTGCCCTGGGGGTACCAATTGGTTACAGTCTGAGAGGGGCAGACAAAGACACACCCCTCCTCGGGCTCAGAGAAGCAGGCTACTGTAAGGAAGGCGCAGCCCTCACCCAAGTACCCGGTTGCTAGGTTGCAGCAGGAACGCACCATGCCCTCCTGGCCTCCTGTCACTCAGAGCCTCTCTTTTCCTGGCCCCAGATTCCAGGGATGTGGCTTCCTGGTGCTGTGGATAGAGGAAACCAAGTTAGCCAGATGCCTTTGGGAGAGACCGTTCAGTAGAGTGGCTGGGGTTGCAACCTCTGGCTGGGGCTGAAATCCAGACACACACCATGTGGTCTGGCGCGTGTCATACCCGCCACACAGAGATGCAGTCCTGGTGCCTGGAAGGCTCCCAGAATATTAGGAGAAAAATGGCAACTCTCAGAAGGTGCCTGGGATCGGGGCAGCCAGGGTAGCTGACTCTGCCCTGCCTCTTCCAGGGGGTTTTTGTGCAGCTGGTCCAGGCCAACACCCCTGCATCCCTGGTGGGGCTGCGCTTTGGGGACCAGATCCTGCAGGTTGATGGGTGTGACTGTGCTGGCTGGAGCACAGACAAAGCCCACCGCGTGCTGAAGAAGGCTGCAGTGGAGAAGATTGTCATGGTCGTTCGGGACAGGTGAGTGGCAAGGCCTCAGAATCCTCTCTGCAGGAGCCTAGATACCTCCCCAGGCCCAGCTCACTGTCCTTTCTGCCAGGCCATTCCAGCGGACTGTCACAATGCACAAGGACAGCTTGGGCCATGTCGGCTTCTTCATCAAGAAGGGGAAGGTTGTGTCTGTGGTCAAAGGGAGCTCTGCAGCCCGCAATGGGCTCCTCACCAGCCACTGCATATGCGAGGTGAATGGGCAGAATGTCATTGGACTGAAGGTAGGCTGCGGCCATGTTCCACAGGGACTGTGAGGCTGGGGAGGGCACCGTCCGAACAGGTTGTGGCCCTGCCAGCCGTAGCGTCCTGCTCTGAAGGTTGTTGTGGGAGTCAGTAAGACCATGGCTGAGAGCTCTGATCACAGTGCCAGCTACGCAGTGAGTGCTCAGGAGTATCAGACACTGTTACTAACTGTGGAGGGTGTGACAGGAAGAGGGGTGAGGACACAGGTACCCACCTGGCTACAGGCTGTATGGACACCTCAGTCCAGTGATGCCTCTTTACTCTGCATGACACTTCTATTTGTCTGTTGATCCCATTTAGTGATAATTTTATTTTTTAAGAAAATCTTTCAGAAATCCATTTCTGACCTTTGTTCATTTTTCAAGGTGGGAGCATGTGGTACCTTTACCTTTAAAAAATCAAGGTACTTATGGGCATGGTGGTTCACGCCTGTCATCCCAGCACTCTGGGAGGTTGCAGCAGGAAGATCACAGGTTTGAGCCCAGCCTGGGCAACACAGCAGCTTTGTGAGATCCTGTCTCAACATAAAGGATGCTGTGTTTGTGTGGGCAGGGGGAGTAACGCTATGCAAATGGGGGTTAAATCCCCATTACTGTAACAGAAAAAAAAAAGAAAAAAATTCAGGAGAAGCAAGTGGTCTGGGGTGAGGGACTCTCAGAATGTGGACGTGGAATGGGATTCCCAGGGGGAAGAGACCACAGATAATGATGACTCTTGGTTTTATCCTGATTTGATGCCACTCTGACTGAGAGTGCCTCTCAGCCCCAGTTGTGTAGTGGAGTGAGCTTTTCTCCTGCCACAGCTCTGGCACTCATGGGGCAAGGCTTCCTCTGGCATGGGTGACAGCACTTTGCCACACTCCTAGTACAGCCATTCCTGTCATTGGCCTGCTTCCTTGTACCTCCGTCTCCCCCATCTTCCTCAGAGGCTTGTTCTGGTAGCTCAGGACCACTGTAGTCAGGAAGTTTTCCCTGATATCTGCATAAGATCCTTCTTGCTGGGATCCTTTGTCCAGGATCAGGCATAATAGTTCAAAGAAACCCACTTACTTAAAAAAGCTGAGTGCTGTGTGGGGGGGGTACACACCTATGAACCCAATACTGCTGAGGCTGAGACAAGAGGGTTGCTATAAATTCAAGGCCAACCTGGGATACATAGTGAATTCAAATCAAAAGATCCTGTCTTGAAAACAAACAGTTCAAGGCTGGGCTTTCTCAAATGGCCCTGTCTCAAAAACAAACAAAATTAAGTACAGCCATATCAATTCTGAATTAAGTCAAGTGTTTGGATATGCATTAATTCATCTGTTTGAAAGTATTACAATTCTTCAACCTTAACTGTTTGAGCACATTCATGGTAAGTTGTGATTCATCTGCACAGAAGGCTCCAGGCATCATTGTGAATTGCCAGCTACTCTACCAAGCCATGGCCTGGTGAGGTTCTTAGGGACAGCCTCTCCATTGAGTAGCTCCAGATACTCCCTCTCCTGCTCCTCCTCTTCCTTATTTTCTCCCCCCACTCCTTCTCCTCCTCCTCCTCTTCTTTTCTTTTTGGTTTTTTGGCTTTTTAAGATAAGGTCTCACTCTGTAGTTCAGGCTGGCCTGGAACTCCAAGTGATTCTTCTGCCTCAGTCTCCGTAGTGCTGGGATTACAGGTGTGCACCTCCACACCCAGACTGATAGCTATATTTCTTGAGAACATTTATAATTTTGAAGTTTTATTTATTTCTATACCTTGGTCACTAGTTCTGTCCCATCTTCTATTTATCCTGGAACAACTAGACAACACATAACCAGATTATACATGTATGTAAAGCCTGGCCCTGTGGGTGGTCGTCAGTGGCATCCTCCAGCAGCAGCCGTGCTGACCTCCACACAGAGGGTCCTGCAGTATGGCCCCTGGCCCCCAGGTGACCATGCACTCACCTCCTCTGCAGGACAAAGCAATCATGGAGATTTTGGCAACAGCTGGAAACGTCATCACCCTGACCATCATGCCTGCTGTGATCTTTGAGCACATGGTGAAAAAGTAAGGCTATCATCCCTCCTCTGTCTTCCCTCTTCTCTGCCTCCTGGAGCTTACCTGGGCTCCTTGGTGCTAATTTATCCTCTCCTCTTCTCCTCTCCTCCATGGTGGATGATGGTTTCTGGGGATTTGGAAGTCTCAGAACCAGGGGTGAATGGACACACTGGGTGTACAGACTTGGGGGGTGCAGGGAGAAGGAGAGACCAGTTTCAGCCATCATTACTTTGTGATATCCAGGTTGTCCCCGACGCTGCTCCACCACACCATGGACCACTCCATCCCAGATGCCTGAAGCCACAGCAGCGCAGCACAGGCCTCCTGCCTCCTTGGCCTCAGATGACAGGTTGCAGCTGGCCTGCTGCTTGGGTTGTTGGGTGTCTTGTGGCTGTTCCAGGTGGGTGGACGTGGGCTGGCAGGAGTCTGTCCTTTGAGCCCACAGGCCTCCTTGGAGCCTCAGACCCTGTGCTGGGCTATGGCTCAGACAGGGCCCACAGGCTGCCAATTGAAATGCCAGGCATGTAGGTAGGCCAGCCAAATGCTGCTTGAACTTCGGCTGGAACAACTAATCCTTTCAAGATTAGGCCTGCACCAGGAAAACAGTTATACATTTTGAGAGTATAGAACGCCACTCTTTGCAATAATGTTTCTTTGCCTTTACTTGCTCCCTGTCACTATATAATTCATAAAAGTATGATATCTTACTGTCTTTTGAATACAGTTTTGATTTTAAACACAATCCCTTCCTGAAGGTTAACTGGAAATTCCAGAATCCTTGGTGCATGATATTCCACAGCTGTTTTCCTTTCAAACAGTGGGGAGACCAGAACCCTTTCTACGTGTCGCCTCAGAGCAGTGATTTGACAGCCTCCACCCCAGGCCACCTGCCAGTCTGGTGCAGGGAAGAGTAGAACTGGGGCCACAAGCTGGCACTGGCTTTGGTGCCCCCCACTAAGGGACCATGTCTGCTTCTGTGTCTGTTAAATGGAGTGAGAGAAACCCCTTCATGGGAAATGGGGAAGAAAAAATGCTACATCTTTATACTGTCCAGCAGGATCTGAAACCTAGCAGCAGAGGAAGGTGGCTGTCTACTTTGTGTTCAACCTGCATGGACCATGGTGCCCCAGCCACATTCATCAGGGCCTGGTGGGGTCAAACCAGCACATGGCCCTCTGCTGCCCTCTGCGTGGGAGGAAAGACAGTGTGAGTCCCACCCGCCCCCTTAGAAAACTGACACAGGAAAAAGAAACCAGGCCGAGGGTCTCACGATATGTTCATGCTTTAATTCAGAGCTGTGTGGTGCAGGTACAACTTTTTCTGGACAAAAGGACAAGGAGATGAGAGTCAAGACCCCTCCCCACCTCCCTCCTTCCCACATCCCCTAAATTCTTGGTCAAGGGGATGGCCAAATGTGAGAGTGCACTGTGACCCATTTGCAACATCCCCTCAGTCAGAAAGGGAGTTGAGAGTTCTCTGGGCAGAGGTCCCCAGGAGGGGAGGCTTTTGCCCTGGAACCTTGTGGTCTGCCCCCGACCCCAAAGTGCTCAGATGCCCCTGTGCTAGTGGCGACTGGGAAGGGTATTCAATGAAAAGCTAAGTTACTCCCTCGGGAAACATTTGTCATAAGCTCTGCTCAAGGCCAGCTGTCTTTGCAGAAGCCCAGGCCCAGCTCCCAAGTCCTTCCTGGGCCTGGACCAGAGGGATAGCAGCGCTGCTATGGTCCTGGCCCCAGAGCTAAGGAAGAGCCACCTCTAAACACTGGGTTCCCAAGTGACCAGCAGTTCCAGAGGTGGTTTTCTGGGGACACTGTTCTTCGAGACCTAATCAGCTCTGGCTGGAGGCTGGAGGCTGGGGAGGCCCTGAAGATTTCTGTTCCAGAAGCTGAGAGGAAGAGGGAAGGGCTGCAGCCCCACAGGAGGAGGTATCAAGCAGAAGGAAAGGGGAGCTGCAGAGGAGAACTCTCTAGAGGGCGCTGGCCAGACCTAGCCTTGATGCCCTCTCTAGCCTCCTCTGTGCCCCAGCTAGCCAGGGCTAAAGCTAAGCCGGCAGCCCACTGCATGCCCTCACCTGGGGCTGCACAGGCAGTGCAGGCCCTTTGCATAGATGCGGGGTACTGAGCACATGTATGCTCAGAGGCTGGGCTGGGGCTGCCCTAAACCTAGGAGTGAGCTGCTTTTGCTACTGGAAAGATAGAGAGCCCACTGAAGGCCTCACTAGAACCCACAAAAAGAGGCCCCTCAGTGCTATGCTCTTGGGACCCTGTGACCTATAGTCACGGCTTGGGCCAGAGTGGGAGTGGAGGGCAGCAGCCTTCTCCTGTGGCCTTGGGCCAATACCTGGGACCCACACATGGCCCAGTCCTTACAGGTGGCTTCACCAGCAGCAGGGACAGAGTGGACAACAATCCCAGCCCTGTCCACACCCACCACAACACAGGACACGATAGGAAGGCCACAGACAGACACAGACAGGAGAGGGTTGCAAAGCTTGACTAAATTCCAGTGGTGAAAAATATATAGATTTTATGTTGTCAAATATAGTTCATACTTTTTTTTTTCAGCAAAGCTTTATTTTTAAGGAGATGCTGTGCAGCTCCATGAGCACACAGCACAGGAGGTTGGGTCCGTGGCCAGTCCTGGCTTGGCTTTGGGTTGCTTTGGTCCCCTGACCCATCCACGGCATGACCCAGTGTCCTGTGGGGCCCCTGCAGCCAGGCCCCAGGCACTCAGGTTTAGTTCAGCTGAGGGCAGGAGTGGTCCACAAAGGAGGGCTGGTCTGAGGCCCCGGCTGAGGTGGAGGAGCTTTGGAGGCACAAAGCGTGTGGCAGAGGGGGCTCTGGCCCAGGTGGCTGGGCTGGCTGCCCACCCCCAGTGCATGCAAATACCCCCTGGGGGGAGGGCACAGAGTGGAAGGGCAGAGCCCACCAGTCAGGCAGTGGCCACTGGGGCCTCGGGATGAGGGCAAGGAACCTTGGCAGAGAACCAGAGTGGCCCCTAGGCCAGAGGGGTACATGAGACGTAGGGTCCCACCAACTCCTCCAATATGGGACCTAACCTCTGATGAGTGGGCAGGATGCCCTGGTGGGTGTAACCCCCCATGGAGGAAGAGGAAGGAGTTTACTTTGTAAACTAATAATGGTAATAAAATATCAGCAGCTTTGCTGGGGGACTCAGATGTGGTCCCAGGGAAGGTGAAGCATAGTGAGCCTTCTCAGGCTGACCCGGCTTGGTCTGGGAGCAGGTGGCCACAGGGCTCTTCCTGCCCTGTCATGTTCCTGCCTGAGGAACACGTCCCAGGGCACCCTGCTTTGGCCTGAACAAATGTCATGGCTTCCATAGCCCATCCTGAGAGTCATCCTGCCAGAATTCTCTGCTTCCCCAGAGGCAGGCAGGTTGATTTACGGACCCTCATCCCAGAAAGCAAGCAGCCACTCCCAGGGGTCTTGGGATGGGGGAGAACCAAGCCCCAAAGTGAACACAGTGCAAGGCAGAGGTTGGGCTAGAGGCCCCTTGAGGAATGGCGGGCATACTCCAGGGGCAGCCATGGCCTCTGGCTTCTCAGAGCAGCCAAGGATTCCTGAGTCCAGCGCTACACCCCTGGACAGCAGATGAAGTGGCCTCATTGGAGAAGATGCAGGGCCCCTGAAGCTCCCAGCTCTGACTCCTCTGTGCTGGCCAATCTCCCAATGGGTACCAGGACTTATATGAGTGCTCCCTCCACAGCACCTAGCTGGCCAGAGGTGGCTTTCTCTCAGGGAAGAACGATGTGACACATCCAGAAGCCAAGAGGAAAATAGGTCATGGGGAGGAACGTGGAGGTCAGACAGACACAGAACCCACCCTGCCCTCAGCCCTTCATGCTGAGCATGTTGTTCCACCAGCCATGGCCTTGACTGTGCTTCTGAATCCTAACTGGGGAGCAAGGGGGAGGCTGCAGCTCCAACCCAGGCCCAGGGGTTCCAGACCCTGCTCGAAGTGCTTAGATCAGTTTTCTGCACGTTGGCCACAGCTGTCTCTGTCTAAGGAGATAATACTGTCTCAGAAGCCTGGCGGGGGGCAAGGTGGCTTGGGAAAGGAGGCATGGAGTGGGCAGGGCACTGGGCAGGACGGAGCAGGGAAGGGAGGCTCCCCAGATAACCCAGCCAGAGACTTCCTGAGCAGGGCCCACCCTGTCTAAGGGCTGGGTGGAAAGAGCAGCCAGGTTGGGGGCCTCAGAAGTGTCTCTGTGCAGTTTGACCAATCAGTGTACTTCTCTGCCTTGAGACTCCCTTACCCTTCTCCCTCTGGAAGTTTTGGGAAGTCATTCTTCCCAGCCCCTGACACTGTTAATATCCAGGAAAGAAAACCACTCTAAACCCACAACTAAATAAGATGATTCCTGTGGCGATATGGGAGGGGGAGGACAGCGTCCCTACAATCAGTGGTCAGGCTGCCAGAGCGCTGTCTAGGATGGGGCGGCCCCCTCAGAGCTGAGAGCCACTGCCTGAGGAGCTGGGCCCGGAGTGGCCTAGAGAGCGGCAGCTGATCCTGCGGATGGAATGCAAGGCCACAGTGCAGCAGCCCCGAAGCAGGGAGCTGATGTTGTAGATGGGCTGGCCCTGGCGTCGTTGAGAGCGGCAGAGCCAGGCTACTGTGGGCACAGCTGGCACCACCACAGCCAGCAAATCCACGATATAGTGGCGACTCCAGTAGCTCTTGGGCTCCTTCTCAGCCGTAGCTGCAGCTGTGGCCACCTCCTCCTCCTCCTCCTCCATGGGGCACACCACACTCACCGATGGGCCAGGGTTGGGGTTGGCTCCAGGCCAGTGTGCAGTGGGCCCCCGGGTGATGGCCTGCAGGACCTCGAGCTCATCGCCCATTGTCACCTCCACTGCTGAGTTGGGGTCTCTGGGCCCTGCGGGGTGGGCCTCTGACTCTGGATGCCTATCCTCAGGGACAGTCCCACAGACCTGGGCCTGGGTCACTCTCTCCAGGATGGTGTCCAGGTCGGGTTGGTACTGCACAAAGTCCGTCTGGATGGCCCGCTCCTGCATGCAGCTCGCCTGCACACCAGCCTCCGTGGCACACAGAAGCTTCTCATACGTGTTACTGGTAGGGAAGCGGACGCCCAGGCTGAAGGAGCTGTGCAGTGAGGCCTCCTCAGGGCCACAGTCCACCCCTGATGACAGCAGGCTGCTGGCCTCCAGAGCGTCGGTCCGGCTCAGTGTGTCATCAGCAGCCCCAAAGCCACTGTCGGCTCCATCTTCAGCAGAGGTTCTGGAGGGATCACCAGGCTGGCGGTCACCGCAAACAGCTGGGTCACTCAACTTGGTATACGTGGAACTGCGGGTGAGGGAGCGGGCAGGGGAACCACCAGCCGACTCCCCAGTGCCCTCTTCTTTGGCCATGCCATTCTGGGCCACCTCCATGCTGTGCAGCAGGGTCTCCAGCTTCTTGTTCTGGATGTTGATGTCCACAAAGTATTTCTGCAGCCCCTTGTCTTTGTCAATCAGGTTGTTTTTGACAGTGTCAATGACCTGTTTGAGCTGTTTGATCTCCTTGCGGGCTTCCTTCAAGGCTAGCTGAGCCTCCACCCGGTGGCATTCCTCCTCAATCCAGTCCTCCTGCATACGTGACAGCTGTGTCTTCAGGTCATCGATCTCTGTGTCCCTGCAAGCAGAAGAGACATTGGCTCACTCCCTGCCTGCCTGGCCTGTCACCATCACCTCAGAAGGCAAGAAGGGGCAGTGTCACCAAAGATAGGGGTCCCTGTACTGCAGAAACTCAGAGTTAGAAACAAAAGAGGGTCCTTGGTGCCTGATACCCCTTCCTTGTATCCCACAGGGAGCAGTGAGAGTGCCTGGGTGAAGGAAAGGAAAGGCCTCCGCCTGTGAAAGAAAAGAAATGTTGATCAAGACACTACCCATTTCTACCCTTGGAAGCTGAACTTCAGGTGACTTTCAATCCATCATCAGGAGAAGAGATGAAACAAAGATTCTTATAAGTGCTGCTTACGTAAAAACCTAATAAAATCTTAATATAAAGCAAAACTAACTAAACAGAAAATCTTTGCTCTATTGAAAGGAATGTGGCCTCCTTCCAAAGCAGGACATGAACATTTTCAATAGATGGAGATGTGGCCAGAGACCCTTTTGGAGATGGCAGTAGCATGAGAAGATAACCACTGTCAATGTTGATGGGGGGAGCTGATAATTTTATATCATCTCTCAAGCAGAGGGATGAGAAGTGGTAGATGGATCAGAGGAGGGTGAGGAGAACAGGGTGACTCTTTTTCCACCATGCTAGAAGTTTCTTCTTTGTGTGTACTGTAAAGAGGGGGGCTGAAAAATGGACAAGAAAGCACCAACTACTACTCTCGAGAGAAGGGTCAAGCATCAAGGAAATGTGACCACTGGAAAGCTCTTGTCCACAAATGCCCAGGCTTTTCCAAATCCCTGAGATACCGATGGATACAGGGTTGGGAGGGGAGGCAGGTAAGTATGAAAATCACGCCACTGAGTCTAGAGACAAAACCAGGGCAAGACTGAACAGAGATTGAGTGAAAGAAACAAAAATCAGATGAAAATCATTCATCAGCCTTCATCTCCTGCCTGGACAGTTTTCCTCCACCATGAAGCTGTTCAGCCCAAGCTCCAGGCTCAAAGGAACAAGATCTACAAATGGTATGGCCATCACTGGGGGATTATGGGCTCAGCACAGTGACTGTTCCACATCAAACACCATGGACTTTTCAAAGTGGGAAATTCCATTGAGGAACAGGGCCAAGGAATCTCATTCTACATTTTGCTGAAGGAATTAGGGCTGAGGGGTCTCAGAAGCCCACAGTCATCACAACATTCTCTGGGAGTGGGCCTTATCACAGAAAGGACTCAGCAACACACTGTGGGCAGTAGAGCTGCTTCCAGTGGTGATGGCAGATGTGCTAGTAGGTATGGGGGGATGCTTGTTCATCACTCACCCTGCTTCAGCATGGGGCACCCTGCAGGGTAACCCTCCTGGCCTCTCTCCCCACTCCTCGCACATGCCTCACTCTGGGAGGAGAAGAGAGTTTGGAAGAAGACATTGGGCATGTTCAGTGGAGCTGGTCCTTGCTTCTCTCTCCTTGGTGCCAGCTAGACTCCACCGAGCAATGGCTTCCCAGTCCTGTCCATGCCTCACTGGATTGCAGGACATTGCATAGGAAATAGATCTTTAAGGATGAGGTTGCTAAGTGGGCAACATAGGGGAAGCACACCTCCGGTTGTAGGGGCACTGCTTACGGATGCAAAGTGGTATCACATGTGGCATCTTCAAGGAGCAGAAGGTAAGCTACTTAGAGAAGTACAGATACAAACAATACAGAAATGCATGAGGAACATGGAGGTGTGGCATGGTCACAAGCTCCTGCAAGAGTCACAGTGTGGTCTGGACTGAGGTGTAAACACACTCACCACAAGCCATCCTGCCCAATCCACACAGAACAGGCAGTCTGCTCTGAGCCACAGGGTTAACCTCAAAAAGCAAACTGGGATATGGCCATCTGCTCCCCGAGGATATTAGTGCAAAAGGCCAAGCATACCCTGGGCATCATTGGGAAGATGACAGGAAATAAAAGTAGAAATCCTAGTTCTAAGACAAGAGGTCAGCACAATGCTGCCCTGAACTCCTGTACCTCTAAACCACAACACATCCAAAATGGATTGTCTACTAGGCAGGAATCTGGTCAAGAATGACATGGCCATTCATTATGAATTGTCCAGAAGAGACAGGTCCATAGAGACAGAGACAGCAATGGTTTGCAGGGATGGAGGGGTGACCTCCAGGTAGGTGCAGGAAAAGAACTCATCCCATAGCTGAGGCAGCATGGGGTGGGAGGAGGGGCTTTCCTCTTTGGAGCCCCAGATGTGCAGGCACAGCTATCTCTATACCCATTCCCTCTCCAAAGCAAGCTTTCCTTGCCCACCTCTCATACACAGGTGGGAAGATGAGGGGACAGCCCCTTGCAGGCAAACTGCTTCCTGTGTGGTCTGAGCAGCTACCTGGAGCAGTCAGGGGGAGTTGGAGGGAGTCTATAAGAGTTTAGAAAATCTGTTGCTGGGAAGGAGAGAGTGGGCGGATAATGGAAAGCCCTGGCCTCTCCTTCCTTCCACAGCACCCCAGGGCTCTGGTTCTTCTGGATGTGGAGCTGGTGGGTAGCCTCGTGGCTGCCCTAGCTGACTGCTTACCTGTCCTGGAGCCGGTCCTGTGTGTCCTTCAGCCGTGCCTTCAGGTGCCGGATGCACACCTCCTTCTGCTGCAGGGGGGTCAGGTACTGCTCTGGGGTGGGGGGCTTGATGCCATGGTTGTCACTGCACAGTGTGTACTTCATGGAGCGCCTGCAAGTGGATGCCCATCACGGGTGGGGGAGGAAGGAGCAAGAAAGGCACAGGTGCTGCCCCCGGGAGCAGGGTCCTCACCCTGCTATCTTCCATCTATGGCCACCAGAGGGCACCAAGCCAGACATCCCAGGTAGGCTTGAGGACACCCAGCATGCTGGAAGATGGAGTTTAGTGAAGCACTTTTTATACCAGGGTGGGGCTGCGGGCCTCCTCTGAAGAGGGGTAGGAACACCCATCAATAGGTGCACACAAGCCTTTTACTGCCACATGAGCATGTTACTGCCACCATCTGCACTGTACTCGAAGTAGTACTGGGAGTGGGGAAGCCTCCATCTCGCAGAGGTCTGCCGGCTTCAGAGAGTCTGGCTCTTACCCTAAGCCCACAGCCTGTCCTGTGGGCACCCAGAACCCAGGCTTCCAGACTCGAACCCTGAGAAAGCTGGAGGCTTGGGATGGAGAGGAAGGCTTCAGGTAAGCAAGGAGAACAAGGACTCACCCTGTAGAGGAGGAGATATGGTGGGGGGCTTTCATCTCCAAAGCTCAGAGCTTAGGGATGGAGCCAGGAAGGCAGATTCATGTACAGGCACACATGTGGCACAGCTGTCTCCATGAATCTGATACAAACCCCCCTTTTCCACCCTCATGTGCATGTAGGTGAGCATTACCTGTACACACGCTAGTAGGGTGTACACATCTGAGTTTGTGGATTCCTGGTCCATGTGTACCCCACACCCACACATGTAGTCACACACAGTACCTGTGAAGCCTTACTCTCTTCCTACTGCCCCCATGGGCAATCTCACATGCCAGGACAGCAGCCTCTGCACAGGTCCACATTTTCACACCTGGGGTCTGGGCATGGACCAATAGTGGTACCCGATGGTACTGAAGGCTGGGTGTCCCCAGTTCCCAGCATGGTAGTGGCCTCTGTTTGGTGTGTGTACCACACACTGGCCCTCCAGGGCATACAGGGAGGAATATCCACCCAGAGTATGAGCAGGCCAGTGGGGAGGACAGGCCAAGACTTTCCGGGAAGGAGAGCACCCTGACTCCACAACAGACTGTGGCCCAGATGGTTCTACCCACAGCTTCCTGCTGCTGGTTCTTCTGTTTTGAAAGAAATGTCTTGGATCTCAGCTCAATATTCTGGGCACATTCCTGTCCAACTAGAGTCTCAGGCCTGCTGCCATCCCAATCTGCTCCAGGGAGAGGCAGATACCTTTTGGGACTACATAGACAGGCACTCATGAGGCCTACTTGCTGAAGAAGCCAAGCCGGAGGCAGCTTTTAGGGTTTCATGAAAGTTAATATTTACTGAGGAAACAACACTTATAGATTATGAACTGTTGACGAGAACTTGGTGGCAGGATCAGAAAGAGAAATGGGTTCACCTCACAGTTTACAAGTTTAACTTAAGCCAAGTTACACATAGCCCTGCTTAGCAAGGGGCAAGGTGTTGGCATGGGTTGGGAGCTTGGGGTTGCCCCCTCTGATCTAAGAGATATCTCTCCAAAAGACAAGCAAGCCATGCAAACAATGCTAAGGCCCCATACACTCATCCTGTAGCATCTGCCAGCCCTGCAAGGGCTTTGGTCAGAGGGGCACAGGCCTGTGTTGAGTAAAAAGTCCCATGCCTGGGGTGGAGTGGGTGGTGGTGGCAGTGACAGAACGAAGATTAATTAAACTAGTAAGAATCAAAGATTAGAGGGAAGTAACTTAAATTTTTCCATTTGCTTTTATGGGTATTTTCTCCAATATAACATTTAACATACATTTTTAGTCACTAGTTCTATTGTTCCAAAAATTAAATATATAATTTATAACATAAAAAAAAAAATATATATATATATATATATGCACACATATGAAATAAAACATACTATGACACATGTGTCTCATGCCTTGGAAAGCCTGGCTATTTGCAGTGAGGTCCTAATATAGGTCCCATCACTCACCTATGGAAATCACCCTCGTGGTAGGCAAGAGGACCTTTCTTAGAGGCAGTGTTCAGCCCAGGGGTTACAGTTATGAGATACCTCACAAAAATCTGTTACTAATGAAAAAGTATTGAAGTTGCCAGTGATATACTTTTCCACATTAAGTTAACACATCACTCCTGTCCCCCAGGCTCTGGGAGGGGTAACATCCAGGATGCTGGCATGTGGGTCCTGCATATGCCTGTCACCCAATATGCATGTTCACAACTGCTGCTTCCACAGCTCTGGACACCGCTGTGCACAAATGACATCCTCCCCGAGGAAGGGGCAGGACAAGCCATGGGTACTGCAGCTGAGTGTTTCCCGGTCTTCTCTGTCCACATCCCTCAAGACCAAAGAGCATAGACCAAAGCTCCAGTAAAATGGTTATTGGCCATCTAGGATGTGTGATCTACAGATACCAACTCACTGAAGCCTCTGGGCTATTAGCTTCATTTTACAGACAAGGAATGGCGATTCGGAGACAGGAAGTGGTTGAATCCAAAGCCATGGCTGCTTCTACACTTTCCCACTGCCCACTTGTACTTCAACACCAAGGAGCCACAATTCCAGTTTTCATTTTCTGGTCTTCCAGGACTCAAAGGTCCCCTTCCCTTGCCTCTCCAACCTGATCCTGCTTTTCAAATATTGGTCCATAATACCTGAGATCAAATTTAGCAATGCTGTGTTTCTAACACATCTCCCAAAGCAAAGTCACCCCTGCCACTCTCCGAGTGTCCCCTGAGAAGAGTAAGATGATAAACTCTGGAGTTGCCTCCTATTCCCATCTTGTCTTTTTCCCAGCAGAACCTGATTCTGTATGGAGGGGGCACTAACTCTCTCTGTACTAACTGGCCCTGTGGGCAGAGTTTTGCTTTCTTTATCTTTTTCCTGGATGGCTGTCCTATAGAAGCTGTTTTGCAATGAATACAAAGTTTTTTTCCAATGACAGCAGTGCAGGAAGACAGGAGATAGGACCTATGCTGCTTCAGAGAGCAGCTTACCTCTCCTTCTTCATGTTTAAAGTATCACTCTTGTTTGTTAACAACCAACAAACTCCTGTGTAGTGGGTATTATGTCCATCTTTTAGACTGGAACTGAGGCTTAGGGGGAGAAGCAACCTGTTCAAGGTTGCACAGCCAGTGAGTCAGAGTGCTGGAGCTGGAGATGTTCAGAACACCACACCAGCCTCCCCGCAAAGTCCTGATTCCCAGCCAGCCAGGAGGCTGGTGATAGGGTGGATTACCTGGGTGTGGGGCTGCTGTCGCTGCCCTTGCAGGAGCCTGAGTTGCTGCTGCTGCTGAGGGAAGAGGTGCCATAGGCGTCCCGCACGCTCACGGGCGGAGAGGTGCGCCTGGATGCAGGGAGAAGAGGCAGGTGCTCATTCTGGCTGGGGGGCAGCTGTGGGCACTGAGCGAACACTGCCAGGCCACTGCGGCTCAAAGCGCCCCCACTTCAGGGTCACCAGCAGGGAGAGAAGCAGCGGGGAGAGGGCGATGCACAAACAGGGGTGACAGAACAGATAGTGCAAATCAAGATGGAAAACCAAAAAGAGGCTGGTCCTCCTGGCTTCCCAGGGAGGAGAGCAGAAACTGGACAAGGCTGCAGGACAAAGGTGGGGCCCCTTCTGCCCTTCCCAAAGGTCCTCAACTTCCCAGAGACCACAAACCCAGGACAGAGATCCCTCACAGGCTGAGGGCAGAAGAATGGGATACACAGGGGTGGGGAGAGAAGGAACAGCCACTGGGGTGAAAATTGGTGGAGGCCGAGTGAACTGGAGTAGATGTCTGCATCCCTCCTCCAACAATGGTGTTCGTGAGTCTGGGATGGGTAGGAATCTAGTGTTTGAGCCTACAGATAACTTTCACATCCATGTGTCATTTGAGCACTTAAATAGTTCCTGGAGGCAGCTAGTGTTTCATGCCCATTTTAAAGATGGGAAAATGGGACATGGTTTGCTGGAAGGCCCAGTGTAAGCCAGTGGCAGGGGAAGTCAGAGGCTCACCTTCTCCCACCCCCTGCCATAGAGCTTCTGGGAAAGTGGAAGACTCACCTGCGGGATCCAGCAGAGGCCCGTCTGCTCCCTGGCAGGGACATGGCCATGAGGCTGCGGGTCCGAGTGAGGGGTGGAATGGGCGGTGTCCCTGGGGCTGAGGAAAGAGGGCGGGTTGGGGGGCCAGCAGGGAGGGCCGGGCCGGGCCGTGTCATCCTCTCACTGGGGCTGCTGCCAGGCATAGCTTCTCTTCTCACCCTTCAGCACCAGGCTCAGGTCACAGCCACATCTATCCGTGAGTTTAATGGGACAGGTGCACAGCCTCCCACCACCTGACTTAAAGTCACGATGGATTGTCAAAGCCTGAGGGGCAGTGGGAAATCATCCATCCGACCCAGTGTCCTCCAGATGAGTGAATATGCCCCAGACAGGGTGCAGATCTTGCCCAAGATCACAAGGACATGAGGGGCAGAGGCTCCTGTCCTCT